CCAAGCTTGACCTCGGATTTCATTTATTTTTTAATTCTTTAAATGTTTTTTACTTTTGTGTATGCATTGGTGGTTCAGTGGGAGAATTCTCACCTTCAATGCAGGGGACTCGGGTTCGATTCCAGCCAATGCACCTCATGTGCAGCCACCACCAGTCCCTCAGTGGAGGCTTGTGTGTTGCTATGATGTTGAACAGGTTTCAACAGGTTTCTTCCAGACTAAGATGAACCAGGAAGAAAGGCCCGGTGATCTGCTTCTGAAAATCAGTCAATGAAAACCCTATGAATCATGGTGGTGAGATCCACAACTGATCATGGGGAAAGCACAGGACAGGGCAGCATTTCGTGCCGTTGTGCCAGCTCAATAGCAGCTAACAACAGCACACATTCAAAGAAGTGCACAAAACATAAATGTATTCGCTGCAATGAATTATCACAAAGTGAACAGACAAGTGTAACCGCCCACAGATCAAGAGATGGATCATTGCTAACTGCTCAGAAGTTCCCCCGTGCCCTCCAAGCACCCCGTATCTCCCCACTACATCTAATGTCTGGACTTTCACCCTTTTGTTTGCTTGCCACTTTGTGAAGAGAATATATATGGAATTCATAAAGTAGGTATTTGGACTTCTTTTGCTCAGTGTTCTGTTTTAGAGATTCATCCACGTGCTTTCACTAACCGTACTTCATCATTGTTACTGGTGTATAGTATTGCATTGTATGACTATCTCACCGCTCTGCTGTGATGGGCGTTTGTGTTATTTCCAGTTCGGGACTATTATAAATATGCTGCTAGGAATGTTCTTATACCTGCTTCTTGATGCATTTGCACATGTGTGTTTGTGGGGGTATACTCCGGAGTGGAATTGCTAGATCATAAGGTATGCATACATTCAACTTTAATAGATATCCGGTATCTGAGCAGTTTTCCAAAGTGATGTTAACAGTTTACACTCCCTCCAGCAGTGAACAGGTGTTCCAGTTGCTCCGTGTCCTCCCCAGGGTTTGATATAGTCAGGGTTGTTTTGTTTCGTTTTGAGGGTTTTTCTGTTTGTTTGTTTTTTGTCTTGTTATTCTAGCAGGTGCGTAAAACCAAACCAAACCCGTTGCCATTGAGTAGATCCTGACTCACAGTGACCCTATAGGACAGAGTAGAACTTCCGCATAGGTTTCCAAGGCTGTAATTTTCACGGGAGGAGACTGCCAGGCCTTTCTCCCACGGAGCAGCTGGTGGGTTTGAACCTCTGCCCTTTCAGTTAGCAGCCGAGTGCTTAACCACTGCGCCACCAGGGCTCCTTGGTGGGTGTGTAGTAGTATTTTATTGTGGTTTTAAATGACTGTTGGGGGTGGGCATCAACTCTTATGCTTTATTGGCTTATTTTGTGAAGTGTCAATTCAAATCTCTTCTCCATTAGCCTACCCGCTGGTCTGTGTTTCTGATTGATTTGTAAGCATCATGGGCCCATTGTCTTTTATGCATGTTACAGATATTTTCTCCCATTCTGAGTCTTGCCAGTTCACCCTCTTACTGATGTCTTTTGATGAATGTATTCAGTTTATCAATCTTTTCCTTTCTGGTTTGTGATTTTTGTGTGTCTTGTTTGAAAAACTCTTTCCCTTACCCAAGTTCATGAAGATTTTCTAGAAGCTTTATTGCTTTACCTTTTATGTTTAAATCTACAAATACATCTGGAATGTATTTGTAATATATGGTATGGGAAAGGAGTCAAGTTTCCATTTTTCAAGGTAAATATCAAATTGATGCAGCAGCATTTATTAAAATTACAGTCCTTTCTCTGCTGCTTCATAGCATCGTCTTTGTCATAAATTAAGTGTTTGTGTATGTGTGGGTCTGTTTCAGAGCTCTCTGTTCTGTTTCTTTGGCTTATTTGTCCATCTTGGTACCAGTATTACTTTGTCTTAATTACTGTAGCTTTCTAGCAAGTCTTCATAGCTGATATAGCAAGTCCTTTCATATTGCTCCTCTTCAAAAATCTCTTGGCTCTGCTTGCCTTTTTCATTTCTTATGCATTATTGACTCAGCCTGTCTGTTTCCATACATACACACAAAGTGTTATGATTTTGACTGGGATTGCATTGAATCTACAAATCAATTTAGGGGAGAACTAATTCTTTAGATATTGCATCTTTCAATCCACGAACATGATATAGCCCTCAATTTATTTAGGTTTAAATTATTTTTAATTAAATGAATAAGATATAAATACCCTCTCATTAAAAATGCAAAGATCAGAAATGAAGCAAGTGTTCCTTTCTCCCCAAACACAGAAGTAGCTACAGTTACTATATACCTCTATGTATGTACGTGCATGTCACATGTATACACACACACGTGCACACACATGCACACAACGTTCCGGATGGGATCTTAGTGATGTGCCATATGCTCTTTTTATTCAACAATATAGTGTGGACATCCCTTCATGTCAGACAGTTAAGCCTAGATCATTCTTTTTAACTACTGCCTGTGGTCCCGAGAATGAGCATGCTCTAGTATAAGACTACAAACTGTGCCACAGTGAACATGCTTGAACATGCTTTCTTGGACGTGCGTGTGTCTAAGACATACTCTAGAAGTAAAGGAGCCTATTTGGAAATTGCTGTAATTGTCCTGAGTAGACATGACAAGAGTCTGAACTAGGCTTGAGAGAGAAAAGAGGGGATGGATTTCCTTTCCAAAATAGCATGTGCTTCCTCTTGGCTGTGTATTGGGCCTTCCAACCCCTTATCAGTGATGGGACTGCCATAAATTGAGGGTTTATATCACAGGGGCACGGAAGCCCAAGGGCAGCCAGGAGGAGGAAGAGAGCTGACCTGTTGATTAAAGCAGCCAGTAGAACAGAAATGGGATGGGATGAGAACAGCTGCTTCCAAATGATACCTGCCCTGGGCAGAGCCCTGTGCCAACTGCCTCATACATGCCAACTCTGAGCCTCCAGCAACCTCATGGGTGTCCTACAGGGAATCTGAGGCTCAGAAAGGTGAAGGGGCCTGTCCCCTCTCACACAGCATGTCAGTGGCTAAGTGACCTGGGCCTGACCACAAATCCCTGTGTGTCTGCAGTCTTGGGACAGAGTTTCCTAATGAACAGTGTTGTCTGAGGACAACAGATGGGCAGATCTGGAGGGGCCAAGACCTGGGACTCAACTGGGGCAAGTGGTGGAAAGATGGACTAGCACTGGCACTGGTTGGAGGGAGTCCAGCCAGAAGGGCAGACAGTGGCAGGTGACAAGTGGTGTCAGATGAGCCCCCGCTGTCTGGGGACCCCTCTCCAGGAAGCCAGTAGCCCACTGTGTAGCAGGTGGGAGGCAGTGGCTTGGAAGCTGAGCCACATCCCCAGTCAGCATGGGACCAGGTGGGGGTTGGGACAGAGCTCTGCTTCCCGGGGGCTCAGGCGCCTGGCAGGGCCCAGGAGGCCCCATCTCCATTGGCAAGGGCCTCCCCCACCTTTAAGAAGTGGACAAGCCACCAGGGCTCAGCAACTGCCTTAATCAAAACCCATTGCTGTTGCCACTGTGTCGATTCTGGCTCATAGCAACCCTACAGGACAGAGTAGAACTGCCCCATAGGGTTCCATGGCTGTAATCTTTATGGGAGCAGACTGCCACATCTTTCTCCTGGGGAGCAGCTCGTGACTTCGAACTGCTGACCTTTTGGTTAGCAGCCGTGCGCTTATCCGTTAGGCCACCAGGGCTCCTTAGCAAATGCCTACTGGACTCTCTTCCCTCCTTTCCTCTCCCCCCCGACCGCCGCCCCCAGCCTAATTCCCCACTTCCTCCTCCTCCCTTAGGATCTGTCTGGCTTCACATCTTGGCTCCCCTTTTATACTTTATGCTGTTTAGAGTTAAGAAACTCCCTTTTTGAGATTTTATTTGTGAATAACACAAGAGAATCCCTGATAATAAAATAAATGCATGAAAATATAGCTTTTTAATTTTTCCATGCAACATGTATGGGCAGACGTGGAATTTTTTCCAAATTGGGATCACATTCTTCATTCTTTTTTGTAGCCTGCTTTTATCACTGCTCAATATATTGTGAACACCCTTCTAAACAAGATGGTTAAGGCCTGGAAGGCATCCGTGTAGGGGGCATCGTGGAAGGACTATTCGGGCTTTAGAACACAGACACAAGCCCCAGCCTGCCTGGATTTCAGACCCTGGCTCTGCTGTTCATTAGCTTTGTAACTAAGCATATTATTAGCCTCTCTGGGCCTTAATTTCCTCATCTGTAAAATGGGGCTAATAATATCTACCCCGAGGTTTGTTGTGAGGACTAAATGAAGTAGGGCACAGAAAGCCCTTAGAAGGAGCCTGGAACATCATAAATGCCTGATAAACATCAGACAGAGGATCACTGTCATGTCTGGTCTAATGACGAAGTCCAGCTTCCTGGCCCCCACCTCACACCCCAGATCTTACAGCTGTATCCCAAACTTGACCCTGTGTTCTTATCTGGGTCTTCTGGGCCTACCCTGTGTCCCTTCCTGGCCCCTCAGCTAGTTGGGGGGTGATGCCTGAGGTCAGTTGCCAAGTGGCATTGGTGGGATTTCAGAGAGGTTCTCCCCTGGGTTCTCAGTGACATGAGGGAGGAGGAGAAATTAGAAAAGGGAGAAGGAGAAGGGGCAAGACAAAGAAGGGGTTATGATTTAGCCATAGTCTGGAAACCTGGCCCCAGATCCTTCCAAGTTTCCATTGCTCATAGGCTTTCTCATCTGGTGCCTGAGCCCAGGGTCCTTCCCTGAACTGGTATCATGGAAGCTTCCCCAGGAACAAACGTTTGCTTGGCTGCTCTTGCCTGGCCAAGAGGCTCACTCTCCAGGGGTTAATACAAATCATAATCACTCCTCGGGGGAGTTGCTGAGACTTGGGGACCCAGCTTGGGGCTCCTGGAGCTCATTGGCCTTAACGTGGCCCAGTGACTTCCAGATGTGGGTGCAGATGTGGGATGGAGGCTCAGCTCCGGGCTCTGGGACCACAGGAGATGAGCAACTACCGGCAGGCCATGCAGAAGATGGCCGAGGACATCCTTTCTCTGCGGAAGCAGGCCGGCATCCTGGAGGTCGAGAACCGCAAGCTGAGGAGCCACCTGTACCAGCAGGAGGCAGAGGACGAGCAGGACCAAGCCGACAAGGTCCATGGTGAGGGCATGCAGGCCACCGACTGGCTCTGGATCGTGGGACAGGGAGGGGGAGAGCATTTCCCAAGTGCTTCACTCAGGCTGGTAGAGGACCTTACACACAGACACTTAGTTCCTGCCAGGCCAGGTCTTCACAGGGATGGTCTATTGGTTTCCTAGGGCTGCCGTAGCAAAGTACCACAAACTGGATGGCTTACAACATCAGGAATGTATTCTCCCACAGTTCTGGAGGCTGGAAGTCCAGAATCAAGGTGTAGGCAGGGCCATGCTCCCTTTGAAGTCTCTAGAGAAGAATCCTTCCTTGCCTCTTCCCAGTTTCTGGTGGTTGCTGGCAATCCTTGACATTCCTTGGCTTTCGGCTGCATCACGCCAATCTCCGCCTCCGTCTTCACATGCTCTTTTTTCTTGTGTGTCTTCTCTATGCATTTGTATCCAAGTCTCCCTCTTGTTTCTCTTAGAAAGACGCCAGTCATTGGACTTAGGCCCCACCCTAACCTGGTATGACTTCATGTTAACTTGATTATATCTGCAAAGACCCTATTTCCAAATAAGGTCACATTCACAGGTATTGGTGTTAAGACTTGAACATATCTTTTTGGGGGACACAATCCAAGCCACTACAGATGGGAAACCAGTTCTGTCTCAAGCTCTAGAACTGAGAGACACTTGGCCCCACAGCTCTGCTGCTTTGAGCTAGGAGAGGCCTCCTCCCTGAGCCAGCTCTCCCTACCCTCTACCCCCGACACAGTGTCCATGAAGCAGAAACTGCTGCTGAGTGAGGTGGATATGAAGAAACTGAGAGACAAGGTGCAGCATTTGCAGAATGAGCTGATTCGAGTGAGTTGAGGGTTGGGGGCAGGGAGCAAAGGGGATGGGGTGGAGGGGGAAGCTAGGGTGGGGGTATCAAAAGGGAAGGGGGAAGTAGAAGGAAGGGGGGCTCAGAGCAGTGGAGGATTTAACAGAGGGGCCCAGGGTGGACCCCCAAGGCCAAGGGTGATGCCTAGGTACCACTCTATCCCTTTCCGCCACAGAAGAATGATCGAGAGAAGGAGCTGCTCCTTCTACATCAGGCTCAGCAGCCACAGGCTGTGCTGCTGAAGAAGTACCAGGACAGACTGCAGAAGATGAAGGCCCTGGAGGAGACCGTGCGGCACCAGGAGAAGGTTGGTGCCAGAGCGGCTGGCCTGCCACGGGCCAGATCACCAGGGCCCAGCCATAGCTGGAAGGTGTGCAGCCCACGGGCCGGCCTAGCCTCTGTCTTCTGTTCTCCAGGTGATCAAGAAGATGGAGCGGGTCCTGGAGGACAAGCTGAGAGACACGAATGAGCCTGTCCTAAACAGGCTGCAGGGAAAGCCCACTGTGGGTGAGTCTCCTCCCCAGCCTTTGCTACCTGGAAGCCCTGCCTTCTCGGGGCTTCCTAGCTTCAGGGCAGCCTGCCAAGAGGGTGCCCACACTCTCAGTTATATCCATGGGTCTAAGAGACCCAGAAAGCAGTACTCCCCAACTCATTCAGATCACCTAGTGCTTCCAGAGGTCCTCTAAGCACCTTCTCTCCTACCAGAGAGCCCCTAAGGACACAGGACATGGGGTGTGCGCCGGATGCCAGGCTAGGAAAGGGCTCCATCTTCCAGGGGAGGAGCCAGGGCAGACTAGGGTGCAGGGAGGGGAGGAGGAGGCTGCCTGGGTCACAAGTCCCAACTTCTGAACTCCAGGGACCCTTCGAATTATTTCCCCATCTCCCCATGTCTTAAAAGATTCTGCCTTTGCAAAACCAACAAACCACTTTGAATAAATCAATGATGTGTTGTCCTCGTTGGTGTTAAATTAACCAAAGCCACCTAGAACTTCCATCAGAGGTGGTTCGGATGAGCAGGAAAGAACTAGGTCACACCATACCAGGCCAGCCCAAAGCACAGACTTCCCGGAGTCCACCTGTGCGGCCTCACCAGGGACTTGGTGTGCCCAGCCCTGTGCTCAACCTTCACTGGGGAGAGGGGTGGGGAGTGCCTAGGGGAGAGCGTTGTTTCTGGAGGCCTTTAGAAAACAATGAAAGCTCCACACCACCCCCCACCCCTTTCAGGAAACGTGAGGCCATCCAGCAACTGGGTGAGAAGGAGAAGGCAAACTAGGGAGGAGAAACAGCCGGGGCAAAGGCCCAGGAGGGAGAAGAATGTACAGGGCACAAAAGGAAGACTGAGAAGAACTGAAATACACAGCAGGACAAATGTAGGGGTGGGGTTGGTTAGGGAGAACTTGGGGTCAGATTCTAAAGGGCCTAAAGGACGGCCCGAGGAGTATGGACCTGATCCCACTGGTAGTAGGGAGCCATTGAAGGCTTGTGAGCAAAGGGAACATGGGAGCAAACTGCTAGGCAGATAGGGGCAGGGAAGCTGAGGTGGGAAAGCCCATCTCACAGATCCTGGGTCACGTTTGCAGGATTCCCCACACTCTCAGCCTCTGGCCTTCAGCCGGGGCCTGGTGACCTATACTCAGCGCTGCTGGCGGAAAACTCAAGGCTGCGGGCAGAGCTGGATAAGACCCGCCAGCGGTCAGCTCCCATCATCCTGCAGCAGCAGGCCCTTCCGGTAAGAGCCGCCAGCACATTCTTGGCTGGGGCCTGTCTTGTGCTGGTCACTGGGTGCCCAGCCATCACCCCCAGCACAGTCCAAGTTGAAGATCAAGACCAGGAGCTAGGCTTGCCAGGGTCTCCCATTTGCCTGAAGTCTCCTGGAGTCCCAGCTCTCAGGCCTTACTCTTTCTTTCCCAGGGAACATGTAAGCTGAGAAAGCTTCACCTTTACCCTTACCTAGCATCCTGGGAGAAAGCAAGCTCCTAGGAGTCCCTGGGTGGCTCAAACAGTTAGCACTCAGCTATTAACCAAAAGGTTGGCAGTATGAATCCACCTAGAGGCACCTCAGAAGAAAGGCCTGGTGATCTACTTCTGAAAAGTCACAGCCATTGAAAACCCTATGGAGCGAAGTTCAACTCTGAAACATGCGGTTGCCCTGAGTCAGAATCCACTTGATGGCAACTGGTTTGGTTTTAACTGGCCCCTGACCCCGGAACACTGACCCTTTTGCAACCTGGCTGGCCTGTACCTGGGCCCCACCCAGGCCTCTCAGAACTCCCCCCTGGAGCATTTCCTGGGCCTGATGAAGCCTTGGAGAGCCCTTTCCCCGTCCCAGGAGCCCTTTCCCCATCCCAGGTGGACCCCAGGGAGTTGGGAGCAGGAGGAGACTTGGCAGAGAGGCTTCGAGAGACAGATGGCTCAGGCCACTCCGAGTACACAGAGACCCTGCCCAGACAGGTGGGTGCCTCAGGCCCCAGAAATGCCTCGCCCTGCTCCAGTCCCAAGGCCGCTGCAGGTGGCCCCTGCTTTACACAAACCCACATACAGGCCATTGGGAACTACAGAAGAGGGGGTGAGGCAGGGCCCAGGAGAGTGTTGCTCTTCATCCCAGGGCCCGCAGGAGGTGAGTTCTGTTTGAAAGCAAACTTGATCGTGGACCTCCAGGTAAAATGCAAGGGATGGGGGAACTCTTGCTTCACAAACGGATTCTTCACTTTACACAAAGAGTTCAGTATCCCTTCTGTGCATTAAAGGGAGCTCCCTAGTGCATTTTACGTTAAAAAATCAATATGTAAAAACTTCATTTATCTAAAATCTGTGGGGAGAACAGCTATGAAGAAAGCCCATTCCACACCTGGTTCTGAACTTCTGAAAGGAGGAGTCCTGGCCCTGACCTGAGACTCTGCAATCGGGGGAGCTGAGTTGGGAGCTCAGAGCTGACTAGCTTCTCCCTCAGTGCCTCACGGCCTCCTGAGCTCACTGGGGCCACAGGCAAGTCTCCACTTTGCCCACAGGATCTCCTTGCCAATTCTTCAGACAAGTTTAACCTCATGGCCAAGCTGGAACGAGCTCAGAGCCGGATCCTGTCCCTGGAAAGCCAGGTCAGTGAAGCTCAAGGGTCGATCAGGCTAGGCCAGGGTCAGGGCTCAGCCTGTGACCAGGATCAGGGCTCAGTATGTGACCAGGCTCAGGGCTCAGTATGTTGTTAGAACTCAGGGAAGCTCCATCTGTGTCTTAGGCTTTCATTTTGGTCCCCGCCCCACTCTCTGCTGCCACCCCTGAGGTCTCTTGGGAAGGTGTTAAGCCCACATTGCCAGGGCTTTGCTTTCTGCCTTGAAAGCAGGCTCAGGCGCTGGTTGTCCTGGTGGTCCAGGATAGGCTGTGCTGCCCACTGACCCCCCATCTCTCCCTTTTGATGTCTGCAGTTAGAGGACTCAGCCCGACGCTGGGGACAGGAGAAGCAGGACTTGGCCATACGGCTGCAGGAGCAAGAGTATGGCTTCAGGCACCCCTCAAAAGCTATCCTCACAGACGTGCCAGTGAGTGATGCCCCCAGAGGAGACCCTGGGGTAGGGGATGGGGCTGGCAGCCACTCTGCCCCCCAAGTCACTGGGCCCTGAGAAAAAACATGCAGGGGGGCCAGCTCCTGGGCTGGCAGTCAGACCTGGGCTCGAGTTTCTGCTTGCTGGGTTGCAGTTTCCCCACCTGTCTGAGGGGATTGTGATAGCTGTGAATATGAGCATTTCTAGAATGCTCTGGCACCAACTCTGCTTTAGGATCGGCTTTGCTCCTCCAGAGTAGCTTGTGGCCCACTCACAAGAAAGGTCCCCCCACTAACTGTGCAGTGCCTAAGATTCTCCCCTTAGCATGCCCCTCCTGGGCGACTACAGTGCTGCTCCCTTGCCTGGCAAAACTGCCCGGTCAGGAGCCTGTTGCCAGAGATACACATTGCTGGCTTCCCCAGAACAAACAGGCCTGCTCACAACTGCCCCTCAGTCTCAGCCCCAGGGACCCACCAGTTCCCCAAAGCAAAGACCTTGATTTGCCCTGCTCTTGAGCCAGGCTCATGGCTGGAGGCTCAGGGGCCCCTGGGGAAGGATTGAAAAGATGGAGGGCTGCCAAGGAAGACAGGGCTCCCTCTGCACATGCCTGCTGAGCCTTGTGCACTCGGGGAGACTAGGTGTGATCTGCTGTGGGTAAGTGGGTTTTGAAGTCTTTGACAAGTTGAAATGTTTTTGACACTAGACTTTAGATCCTTGAGGTGTGGTTTGGCCAGGCAAGACGCCCTTAAATGGGTCACTCCCCTCTCCCAGGGCTAGAGTGCACTTACCTCCCCTCACTCTACACACCACAGAGCCCCCCAGCCCACTCCAAGGACCACAGGCGACCCTCAAAGCAGGACCCGTTGCTGCCCAGCTCAGAGACTAATCTCAACCAGCCCTCGACCTCCCAGAAGGAGACCACTAAGTCCCAGGAGACGCAGACCTGAGCACTGGAGCAGGCCTCTCGCCCTGTGTGCTGGGGAGTCTCATCCCATCCCCTAAAAATGACTTTATTAAATGCTGTAGTTCAGTGAGTATCTGCCTCTTCCCTGGAGCAGGGCAGCCTGGGAGCCCCACACTCCCCCTCCCAGACCCAACCCTGGTCTCTTGCTGGGCTGGACCGTCTGCTGCAGCTCATAGGCACCTGCCTGTCCTGGGAGCTACTATCTTTGGAAAACCAGAGGCCGTAGTGGACCCAGGAGGGTGGGGAGAAGAGGTCTTCCAAAGCAGGGGCCAGAGAGCTAGGTCCCTTCCAAACCCCCAGAAGAAATGAAGCTGGGACTTTCCACCTGCCCCAAAACATCCATCATGCCTGAAATCCCTTCTTTCAAGCTTGGTTATCTGGTGTCTTGGGAAGGGGAAGACTTGAAGCCTGCCTGTGGCAGTCGGTAACATCTTAGTGTGAAATACTTCATTAAATAGGGCTAGACTGGGTTGGCAATGTTGTGTCCAGATGCAGCCTGAGAGAGAAATGCAAAGCAGATGGGGACAGGAGAAGGTGCCCTGGACTGAGAATCAGGGGACCTGGTTCTAGCTGTAAGTGTGCTGTGTGCCCTTGGTTGACTCAAGCAACCTCTCTGGGCTTCAGTTTCCCCACCTATCCCAGGCAGAGCTTGACCTCTTTGGCAGTAAGGCCCTTTCCAGCTCTAATGTTTGAGTTCAAGGTGACTCAAGCCTGGAGAAGAGAAGGGAAGTAGAAAAGAGAGAGAAAGACAATCGGAAGAAGGTCGTGTGATAGGAAAAAGCAGAAAGGCTCCAAAAGTGAACCCAGAACTCTCAGATCTCAGCAGAAGAGATGAAGCCAGCTGGACCACTGTCCTGAGCTGCACAAGCTGTTCTGTCTCAGGGGATGTAGGAAGCCAAAGGCCAGGGCAGATCAGACAGCTGCTCAGACAGTTCTGAAACTCAGAAGCATTCCAAACAAACCCATTGCTATTGAGTCAATTCCAACTCATAGCGACCCTATAGGACAGAGTAGCGTTCCCCATAGGGTTTCTAAGGCCATAAATTCTACAGAAGCAAACTGCCACATCTTTCTCCTGTGGAGCGGCTGGGGAGTTCCGACTACCAACCTTTCAGTTAGCAGCTGAGCACTTAACTGCTGCACCACCAAGGCTCCTTCAGAGGGGGTTAAGGAAGCTGAAATTGGGGACCAGTATTAGTCCAAATAATGCACCAGAGATTCTCTGCAGTTTCCCTGCCCACTGCCCAGAGTTAGGCAGGTAGACACGTCCCCCTGGAGCAGGAAGTCGAGGCCTGGGGCAACTCCAGAGGAGGGTCAGATGGGGCAGAAGTATGCTGGCCTCTCACTCCCCGGGGTCAGCCACCTCACGCCCACCCCTCCGCGACACGGTGCCTCAGCCCTGCACAAAACTCTGGCTGGGCCTTGGCAGGAAGTTCTCGTGACTCCACAGGGGATCCCTACCCAGGGTTCAGCCAAGCAGAGCCTCATCCCTGCTAGGCAGGCCCACCCAGGAGCCAGGATTAGCCCCCCCTCTCAGGCCACCCTGTTCTCAGCAGAACTCCACCCGCTCTTGCTTCCTCTGCCTGATGGCTTCAGTCTCTCCTGGCACAGTGACAATAAGCCCTCCACCTCCTCTGCCTTCCCCTCCTCAAGCCCCAGGGAGCAGGTAGGTTGATCCTGCTGGCTCCTGACTTGCTGTAGGGGGGTGGGTACAACAAAGATGGCCTCAAATGTGGATGCCTCAGGTTCCCTATCCAGGCCCAGCTCACGCTGTTGACCCAGGGTCAGGGACCTTCTCCACAGGAATGGTGAATACCTTAGGGGTCAGATATAAATTAAAATACTTCACATTATATAGCTGTTTATTGTCTTCCTAGAGCGGGCAAGGAGGGAGAAGAGGTGGAGGGAGAGAGGAGCTACCAGTTGAGCTCAGAAAGGTGACCACTGAGAGCCAAATCCATCCATGCAGGGGCTGCCTCCTGGTCAGAGGACGGGTGGGAAGAAGTAGGGTGGGGGCAGAGGATTGAAGATGAGAGGCCACACAGGCCCCACCCCATCCCCACGACTTCCTCCCACACCAGAACTGGCCTGATGGCGGGACAGGCAGGGCCCACCCTCCATCATGCCTGGAGCAGGTCCTTGTCGAGGGGCCGGAAGGTTAAGAAGATGGGCTTGTCAGGCACCAGGATGAGACTGAACTTCGTTTCCACGTCCCTGAGATCTTGGATCTCAATTTTGAAGTTTTCCAGCATCTGAGAAATGAGGGTAGTTGGCTTAGCAGGGAGGAGGGTAGGGGCTGTCTCCTCTGGCTTAGGGCTCTGGTCACCTGTAGGCAGTGCTAGGAGTGTGATTTGAGGAGCTCCAAGGAATTTACCTCCGGCTTCTCATTTAACCTTTCACAGTGTCTAAAAACACACCATCAGTGCTCTGTTCCCTTGATTTAGACCTTGCCGTTAATTCATTTCTACAAAACCCCATCCTCACCCTACCCCATCCCATCACCACTAGGAGGTGGACGGTGGGATGGATGGCCAGGGGACACTAATGGTGATTAATGAATTAGCCCAAAAGAGGAGGCAGCAGGGATTGTGGGCTAGGGAGTGGGTGGAGGGGGAGGGCAAGTAATTGAGGGCAGATATACCCTGGGCTCTGGACAGAGATGGGAGGAGGAGGGTTGGTGCTGTCACCAGGAGCCGAGGCCAGCCCAGGATGTCCAGATGTCCCCAAGCCCAACTTACATGGATGAGGAAGAGCAACATCTCGAGCTCAGCGATGCGCCGGCCCACACACTGCCGGGCACCCCAGCCAAAGCCCAGGTTCCGGAAGTAGGTGACATCCTTGTCTTTGTTCAGCCATCGGGTTGGGTCAAAACACTCCGGGTTGGAGAAGAAGGTGGCGTCCCGGCCCATGGCAAAGATGGCCACCTGCACCAACGTCTGAGGCGGGGTGGACGGAGGCCAGCGTAGTATGACAGCCAGCTTCCCCATTCCCCTACCATCCCTTCCCCATGCCTGCTCCCCAGCATGGTTGCCCAGCGAACCAGGACAGGATGTTCTGCTCACTGTGTAACCTGGAACAAGTCTCTGACCCTCCCTGAGCCTCACCCATCAAATGGGGATGATGTCCCTAGCCCCAAGTCCATTAGGATCCTAGGATGGCTGAAGACAAAAGGCTGCAGATGGCCCAAGGGATTGTTCAGCCCTTTCTTCTGCCCCAGAAGGCTCCCTGAGATTCAGGCCACCCGTGGGCTCTCCCTTCTAACCCAGGACTCTAGCAGCATTCCAGAAATCACTCCTCATGGTGCCCTCATTCATTCAAACTTGGGTTGCTGCTGCCGAGGGTCCCACCAGGGCCCCAGTTCCAGGAAGAAAGGCAGGACAAAGCCCCCATCACTCCATCTGTCTGCAACTGCAGTCTGTCCCAGCCTCCCCTGTCTGATTGGCAGAGCCTGCAGCCCCCCTGCTACACCCACCTTGGCCGGAATCTTGTAATCATGAATAACCACGTCGTTTGCAAGATATCTCTGCACGGTCACGGAGATAGGGTGGAGTCTGCAGGAGGAGGACACTCCAGGTGACGGTCCCCAAGACCTGAAGCTATGACCCTGCCCCTTCACCCAGCATGGCACCCCAGCCCGGCTGCAGCATCTGGGGAATCTGGAAGCAGGATCTGGACTCTCATAGTTTCTCCTCTCCATTCCCAGCTGTCTCCCCCAGACCTCTCACTTCCTGTTACAAATCTCCTCCACCAGCCCGTCCCTGTAACCCTTTCCCCTGCCACTGCCCTGGCCCTGCCCACTGGTTTTGGCAGGCGGCATATGTGGATGTGGACTTGCCTCAGTGTCTCTTTGATGCTGGCTTTGAGGAGCGGGACCAATTTGAGCATCATGTGTATGTCTCCCTTGGCCTGGCGCCGGGCAGCCAAGACCTCTGCCCGCAGTGCTTCCTGCACCCTCAGGCTGCGGGCCATCTCATACATGCTCCACTGCAGTGTCATGGACGTCTAGCAGGAACCGGGATGCAGAAGACCAGAAGGGCCTGTCACTCCTGGGGCTCTTTGAGGTCCATGACCCATGCTAAATTTTCCTTTCCAACCAACTGCACCCACCCTCCTCCCAATATCCAAAGACCACCATCAACAAAAGCAAAGTATAACTCAAAAGGCACAAGAAGCCCTTCTCCTTGCCCATGCAAGGATGTTTGGGACAACACTTGTCCTTGCCCTTGTCCCTCATGTCACCAGAACCCACCGATCTCCCCAGACAGAAGAGTGTCACCTACACAGCCAGTGCCACCTCCCAAAGAACTCCAGGGGCCTTTAGAGACCAAATGCTTTCATGGTTGTACTGCTAAATGACTGTGTCATTCCTTTAGAAGGCCTTGTTAAAAACCACCCCTTCACAAGTATAACTTCGCAAAACCTCAGCATTTGCCTGTACCAGCTTAAAGTCAACCTCAAAGATACTGAAACCAGAGAAACCAGATCTATTTTCTATCAGTGTTGCAATTAGCATGTGGCATGTACCAAGGTTAACCAGCTCATATCAATGTTAGCCAAAAGTTATGATCTTGAGTCCTTTGCTGGAGGCATGAGTGATCCTAATCAAACTCCACAGTCATTCCAGATGTCTCAGTGCTGACAAACTAAACTCTCCTGGGAAAAGAGGCTAGGGCATGGATTGTTAACACATTATCTTACCAAGTGTCACACTTTTGTCCAAAAGCCTTGGACACCCTCCTTCCTCCCAGCAGGGGTAACAACGAGAAAATATCACCCAGCCACGTCCTAGCTTAAAGTCCTTGCCTGAACTCCAGATGAAGTCCAGAGGTTCTGGCCTGACCCACCAGGCCCCTCAACACCTGATTCTTGCCTGATGCTCCCCAAGCCCCATCTCCCACCTCTCTCCAGCATGCACCTTACACTCTAGCCACACTGAGCTACACTCAGATCAAATGTATTTGTCAGTGAGATGGAGTGACACAATAGCCTCAACAATGGGTTCAAACATAGCAAAGATCATGGAGATGGAACAGAATAGAGCAGTCTTTCATCCTGTTATACGTAAGATCACCATGAGTTGGAGCCAACTCGACGGCAACTAAAAACAACAACATGTGTGAAAGCTTAGGACCCTGCCTGTCATATAGTACACGCTCAACAAATGTTACCTAATAATACTAGCTTGTTTGTGCAGGTATTCTTTGGAGGCATCTTCTGACAATGAACTATGTTTAAAACATGTTTTTAAAAAATTCACTGGTACTATAGAAAACAATATGGCACCTCCTTAAAAAGCTAGAAATAGAAATACCATACAATCCAGTAATCCCACTCCCAGGAATATACCCTAGAGAAATAAGAGCCATCACACGAATAGACATATGCACCCCAAGTCTATGGCCCCCACACACCCTGCTAACTCAGAACTGAACCCACTCCCGAAGTCTACCTTTCAGCCAAAGATTAGACATGCCAATAAAACAAACAGAAACACACGTGAAGAATGCTCTTAGCATAGATCAATCAAGTATACAAGACCAAATCGGCATCACCTACCCAAAAGCGAAGACGAGAAGGCAGGAAGGGTTAGGAAAACTGTACCAATGGACATGGAGAACCGGGTGTGTAAAGGGAAAGGGGGAGAGTGCTGAAACATTGTGGGAACTGCAACCAATGTCACAAAACAATTTGTGCAATTTTTGAATAATAAAAGAAAAATCCACCTGCAACCCATCACAGGTACCAAAATTCCTCTACTAGAGCATAATATAAATAAGTTATCTAAGAAAGTTACTAACCCAGGGGGCTTTGACACATGCTTCTCCCTAGTCCTGAAATGATATTCCTTCTCTCTCCTCCTGGCAACACAAGATACAAGTTGGATTTTAGCTCCTCTACAGGGCTGCAAAAGACCTTTTTAAAGTGCTGAAAAGCAAAGATGTCACCATGAAGACTAAAGTGCACCTGACCCAAACCATGGTGTTTTCAGTTGCTTCATATGCATGCAAAAGCTGGACGATGAATAAGGAAGAGCGAAGAAGAATTGACACTTTTGAATTGTGGTGTTGGAGAAGAATATGGAATATACCATGGACTGCCAAAAGAATGAACAAATTTGCCTTGGAAGAAGTATGACCAGATTGCTCCTTGGACATGTTGTCAGGAGGGATCAATGCCTGGAGAAGGACATAATGCTTGAGTAGAGGGTCAGCGAAAAAGAGGAAGACCCTCAAGGAGGGTCATAATATGTCCAAAGTACATGAGCCAGGAGGGGGGATGTATCATGTATGGGTAAACCTGTTGCCTTTGAGTCGATTTCAACTCGTAGCGACCCTATAGGACAGAGTAGAACTGCCCTATAGGGTTACCAGTGGGCAGCTGGGGGATTCAAATTGCCATCCTTTTGGTTAGCAGCCAAGCTCTTAACTGCTGCGCCACCAGGGCTCCTGGGCAGGACCCCCCCAATAGAGGGGTTGCAGATGCCGAGGCAGGCTGGTGAGGAGGGGCATGTGGACACGGGGGTCACTGGGTGTGGCCCTACAACAACCTCACCGTGTCGACACCGCCGGCCAGCAACTCAGTAACGTTGGCCTTGACGTCTTCAAAGGGCAGCTTGTTACTCTTCAGGAGGCAGTAGAGGATGCCGGGGTAGTTATGGAAGACTCTTTTTTGTCTCAGGTCCCAGTAGAAGTTCTGGGTGTACTGTTCAGCTGGGAGTGGGGCAGAAGGAAAGAAAAAAGAGTGAGGTTCCCTGCAACTGGAGGGAAGGAGAACAGTCTTGGATAAGAAACAACGCCAAGCGCTTGAAGATTCTGGAGCCCTGTGCTTTTGAAGCTGCTGTTTCACTGAGCACTTTCTCTGTACTATCATCCTATCTGCTTTTTCATTTAATTATTGCCCACAACTCTATGAGGTAAGCAATATCATCCCCACTTTACAGATAAGGAAACCGAGGCCCAGAGAGGTTAGTCACTTGCTCAAGGTCAATGGGTGTAAGGGGCAGAGATGAGATTGGACTCCAGGTCACCACCATTCAGTCAGCCTTTTGCCCCTGGCCTCCCAATCTCTCTCACCCAAGTCCTAATCCCATGTTACCAAGCACAGCTGTGTCTGAGACATTGGCCCTTAACCCCCTGGGGATTACAGGCCCCTTTAAGGAATTATGGACCTTTTTGATCCTCTTTCTACAGAAAAATCTAATCATCCTAACAGCCAGCACTGGGCCACCATTTCCAGTGGTTCTGGGACCCTCCTTTTTCCAATCCCTGCCCACTAAGGAGTGGGTTACCTACATGGCATGTCAGTGCTATTGACATAAACTCAATGTCGGGGAGTCAATTCCAACTTATAGCGATCCGATAGGATAGAGTAGAACTTCCCCCATAGGGTTTCCAAGGCTGTAAATCTTTAGGAAATCATACTGCCACATCTATCTCTCTCGGAGCAGCTGGTGGGTTCGAACTGCCAACCTGTCAGTTAGCAGCTGAGCACTTAACCACTATGTCACCATAACACAGGACAAAGAGGCAGGCCCAGGCCTGGGCCCTCCAGCTGGCTTTATCTGTCCCCCCAGGCCTGGGTCCCTATTCCCTGAGGTAGACAGGGTTCCCCTGCTCCCCATAATTGGCTGTCCAGGGGTACAGCAAGAGAAGCCCTCACCTTTATTGAAAATCAAGTCCCATGCAGCCGCGTGGTCCTTCCAGGTCTTGGTCCTGAACAGGCGGAACAGATCTGGGGGGAAGCTGAGCATGGGGACGCTGGTGTGGAACATCTGGTATACAGCATCAATGAACCGCTGGGCCTCATGGTCCACCTTCTCCTCCAGCATTCCCAGGCGCTCCCCAAATACGACATAGGTGATGGCTGTGGAGGGAGGCAGAACCTGACGAGCCCTCCGCCCTGGCCACTGCAGAGCCTCAGCTCCCAGAGATCCCCAAACCCCTGGCTTGTGTGTGCACACACACAACACACAACACAGCACACAGAGACACACACAAAACACACATGATCTCTTGCACCTAACCTCAGCCTCCTTCCATACAGAAACTGATGCTTGAATCCCAAAAAGCTAAAAGACAGAGCTGAGGAAAGCTGTCTTTCTGGTAACCACCCAGGCCCTTCAGAGGGACATGTGGAAGACCCTGAAAGGGGATCACTTGGGTGGGAGCCGGGTCTCCTGCAGAGCCAGAAGATGACCCAGGCTGGGATAAAACTGCTACCCCCACCCTTCCAGCAGCACCCCTAAGCAGCCTCTGGGCTTTTCCTCCTGGGAAGAGAGATTCCTTTCTGTAAATAACTGAATTGGCTACATCCTGAAACAGGTCACATGGGATTCTGGGATATAAAAATCCCCGAGTAATTGGCCATTCAGGATTCAGTCTGGCTGGGCCTAAGAAGCCATAACAAGCCCAAGATTTTCCCAAATACCAGCTCAGGAATTTGAGTCCTGATTTCATACCAAGTTCTAAGCACCCCAAATCTCCTACAATGACCCTCCCTATCAAGCCACAGGGCCTTTGCATGTGCTATTCCCTCTGACTATACTGCCTGACCTCCTTACACCATCTAGATAACTCCTGCACATCCTTTAATACCCAACTTAGGTTAACCACCCAAGCCTCCCTTCACCTCCCAGACCTTGAAGGTCTATGTCCTAGGAGAAGGATATTTGCTGAATGAAGGGCTAAGCCAAGCTCTGGCTTTTGGAGGAAGGGAGAAAGGGACCTACGCTTTGGGGACCCTTGCCCCGGCAGCATGAATGCCAGACGAGAGAATGTACAGCTTCCCCTGGGTAGCTGATGGTGGAGGATGTGTTCCACAGCTCATCCCAGAAGCCAAGCCCAACACTTCTGCAAGGTCTGTCCTGGGTCTCAAGGTGGGAGAGGGGATGCTGGGTGCTCCCACCCCACAGACCTGCTGTCTGCCAGGTGCAAGCCCCTTACACTCAAAGGCAAAGCGGAACAGGTCATCACTGATGTCCCCTGAGTACTTCCCAAAGCCCTGCTGATTGATGCGCCTGTGCAGGAGGCTGACGAAGTCCTGAGACACTGTCTCCAGCAGGGGCACGAAGTTCTTTATGGTCTCCAGAGCCATCAACTCCTGGTTCAGGGTCATCCGGTCTTTCTTCCAGTCTTCTGAGGTCCTGAAAAGATATGGGCCCTCGGGCCCTCATGGTCACAGACCCTAGGCCTGGCGAGCACGGAGTGTTAACGGGGGAGGGGGCCCTCCCAGGATGCCAGAGCTCAGCTCTGTGTGTCTAGTACTCATGTCAAGGTGCCCCACCTCCTCCCAATGCCCTCTGCCTCTCACCTCCTCCCGGCTCCCACACAGCCTGGGAGAGGAGACAGGAAGAAAGAGGATGAAGGAAAGCAAAACCCTGAGCTCCTGCCACTTTCTCTGCTGCTGCGAGCCAGGAACTCACCTCTTATAACCTTCAGGGAACTTTCGGGCCCACCAGTCTTTTACTCAGCTGCCAGGCCTGCCTTCTACATCACTTCCCCTTCCTCCTGACCGATGCTATTCAAAGGTCTCTCTTTTATGACCCGCCTCTCCTCCTCTGCACCCCATGCCCCACTACTCATTTTGGTGTGGCGGGGGCAGGTCCCAGGTGCCCAGAATTGGGATAATCTTAACCCTCGATTTATGGCCTTCTCTTGAAAATTGATCCATCCAAAGCCCCTTTGTTGTTTTTGGTTTGTTGTTGTGTTGTTGGTTGTAAGAATGTTATTATAAACTCCCTACAGCACAGGAAAGCTAGGAACTTGACAGTACCTTACCTACCTGGTGCTCCTGCATCCCACCCTCTGCCTCCCCATCTAAGGGGACCACCAACTGAATCTCTTGCTTTCTTTTGCAGATAGTGTTATCTGATTGTTACAGATTGAATTGTGTCCCCCCAAAATATGTGTTGTAAATCCTAACCTCTATGCCTGTGGTTATAATCCCATTTGTAAATGGGTTGTCTACGTTAGGTTAATGAGGCAGGATTAGTACAAAGTATGTCTTGAGTAAATCTCTTTTGAGACATAAAAGAGATTAAACAAGCAAGCAAGTAAACAGAGATGGGGGAAGATTGATGCCAAGCCACATGGAGATCTCCGAGGACCCAGGAAACAAGCTGAAGAGACAAGCACCTTCCCCCCAGAGCCAACAGAGAGTGAAAGTCTTCCCCTAGAGCTGGCACCCTGAATTCAGACTTTCAGCCTCCTAGACTGTGAGAAAATAAAATTCTGCTTGTGGTATTTCTGTTATACAGCAGCACTAGATAACTAAGACATTGATCCACCTTTATTTCTAGAAATAAGTATGTTTTTAAAACATACTTTTAAAAAAATGTATGCTTGTTTTTTACTTCTCACAAAAGCTGGGAACTTCCATTTTTCAGTCAATTTTATATTGCTGTGGGACACTGCGTCCATTTATTTTGACAGGTGTATACCATGTTTTACTCACTTATACTCCAGTTGAGCATTTACATAGTTTCCTGGCTTTTGCCATTTTTAACAGCACTCCCTGCAAACATTCTACGACATATTCTTGGGGCAAATGTGTAAGAGTTTCTTTGGAGTATATCCTTGAGAGCTGCAGAGTCATATGTATGTGAATATTCAACCTTAGGAGATAATGTCCAACCATTTTTCAAAGCGGTGGCACAAGTACACCCCTACTAGTAATGTATGGGAGTCCCTGGGTGGTACAAACAGTTAAAACACTCAGCTGCTAACTGTAAGGTTGGAAGTTTGAGTCCACCCAGAGGCACCTTGGAAGAAAGGCCTGGCATTCTGCTTCCAAAAAATCAGCCATTGAAAACCCTGTGGAGCACAGTTCTACTCTGACACACATGGGGTCACCGCGAGTCAAAGTCGACTTGACGGCAACTGGTGACAGTAATGTATGAGAGTTCCAGTTGCTCCCCATCTTCCCAGCACTTGATGTGATCACATTTTAAAATGCTGATGAGCAATTTAGTGGAAAATGGTATCTACTATGCTTAAATAGGAGTCTTGGTGGCACAGTGGTTAAGAGCTTGGCTGCTATCCAAAAAGCTGGCAGTTTGAAGCCACCAGGCACTCCTTGGAAACCCCTATGGGGCAGTTCTACTCTGTCCTATAGGGTCACTATGAGTCAAAATCGACTTGACAGCAACTGGTTTATGCTTAAATATGCTGAAAGCGAAGAGGACTTGAAGCAATTACTGATGAAGATCAAAGAACACAGCCTTCAGTATGGATTGCACCTCAATATAAAACAAAAATCTTCACAACTGGACCAACAAGCAACATCATGATAAACAGAGAAAAGATCGAAGTTGTCAAGAATTTCCTTTTACTTGGATTTACAATTAACACCCATGGAAGCAGCAGTCAAGAGATCAAACAACATATTGCATTAAGCAAATCTGCCGCAAAAGACTTCTTTAAAATATTAAAAATCAAAGGTGTCACCTTGAAAACTAAGATGCACCTGACCCAAGCCATGGTATTTTCATCACCTCATATGCATGTAAAAGCTAGACAACGACTAAGGAAGACCAAAGAAAAATCGATGCATTTGAATTACGGTGTTGCCAAAGAATATTGAATATACCATGAACTGCCAGAAGAATGAACAAATCTGTCTCGGAAGAAGTACAGCCAGAATGCTCCTCAGAAGCGAGGATGGTGAGATTTTTGTCTCACGTACTTTGGACATGTTATCAGAAGGGACCAGTCCCTGGAGAAGGACATTATGGTTGGTAAAGCAGAAGGTCAGCGAAAGAGAGGAAGACCCTCAACAAGACGGACTGACACAGTGGCTGCAACAATGGGCTCAAACATCGTGAGGATGGTGCAGGACTGGGCAGCATTTCCTTCTGTTGTACATAGGGTCACTATGAGTCAGAACAGACTGGCCGGCACTTAACAATAACATGCTTAAATACACGGATTTGTCCATGTTTTTCTGGCCCCTTAAGACTGTGCGGGACTCAAGGTGGCAGGACCCTGCCCTACTTGTCATTGTACCCCTAGCCCTGGCACAAAGCCTGGCATATAGTAGGTTCTCAATATGGTGAAACTTAATGAATGAACCAATAAACGAGAACTTCGCAAGGTCTTATTTTGCCCATTCAGATCTTCAGCTTCATCAGTTCCCTGAAGGTTGACAGGCAGCTCATCATCCCCATCAGTGTTTTAGTGAGGCAGGAAGTTGACAGGACTTACCCAGAGGCCCCAGTTAGAAAGGGCAGGGGCAAGCCTGGACCCTGCCGCTCATGCCCAGCCTCCACCCTGCCCTTATCTCCATACATCCTCTGGGAGATGGCCCAGAACTTACTTGAACAGGACCCCAATGGGTTTCTTGTAATGCTGGTGATAAGCAGTCCAGGGTGGGATGAGGTAGCGTTCTGGGCTGGGACCCTCAGACTTAAAGAGAATGGCCACATCTTCAGGGTCGATGATAAAAACCGAGTCCGCAGTGCCGAGCTTCTCCCTGGAGGGTCAGGGGAGAAGGGCTGTGACATAGGACCCGAGGAGAGCCATGGAGATTCTCGGCGGGGTTCTCAGCACGACCAGAGCACATACTCTGGAGTCAGAGGGCCTGGAGCAAGTCCCTTAACCTCTCTGAGTCTCCATTTCCTTTCCTATAACATGGAGATAAATATAGTACCTATTTCACAAGGTTGCTGAAGGACAGAATGATATGGAATATATAGATGTGACACTTCTTAAAGACTCCGTAAGTAACAGCTTTGTTATCATCCTTATCACAGCTGTTGCAGGATCAGCCTCTCCCCTTAGCCTTCCTTGAACTTTCAAGTCCTCTGTCTCACACCCACTCATTCTGTGTTCTCACCCTCAGCATCTCCCACCCTCCACCCTCGTGGAGCTCAAAAACCTGCCACACTTGAGATGTCACCACTGGAGTGACCCCATGTGCTGTGGAAGGACACCGGTCAGTTCAAGTTCTGTGTAGCTCAACCAGGCAGGCCACCTACCAGGCCAGCCAATCCCTTCTAGACTCTCGGACTGGAATTCTGGGAGCAGCCACACTGCCCGGAAGAGCCAGACACAGGACCAAGCACTTGGTCTCAGTGAACACGAAACTGTGCTGAAGCTTCAGGCCCCAAGCACAGATACACCTGACACCGTGTTTTGCAGACAGTCTATTAAACTACGAATGTTGTAAAACAACAGAAAATGCCACTTCAAGCTTTATCCGCCTTTTGCCTAAGAAAGCTAATTCAAGATACACTTTAAGACAAAATATCAAGACATGAAAGCACACAGGTACAAGCCAAGTGTGTATGTGTGTGCGTGAGAGAGAGAGAGAAACAGAGAAACTGACTCACAAAGCCTTGGCCTGCCTTCCAGAGTCCCTCAGGCCTTCGCTTGTGTGTGGCTTCCCAGGAAGTTCCCTCAGTGATTTTCTGCGTCCTCACGCGTCCTCACACCACTAACCAGTGCTCCATTCCACCCCCCACGTCCACTCCAGCTCAGCGAAGTCCTTGAACTTCTATCTTTATGATCAACTCCACTTCTGGAAATCTAGCCCCAGGGGATGATCCGACATTGGACACCGCTGCCTGAGAGAGGAGGATGTTCATGCCGGCATCGTGTCTAATAACAAAAGATGGGAGTGAGCTAAACATTGGCTTTAAAGAACTGGCTGGAAAAATATGGCACATTCATACTGTGGAATACTATCCTTCCTTTTAAAACTATGTTAAGAGAGAAAGAAAAGAAGTCCTCAATATATTGTGGGACAACACCAAACAGCATATATAATATGTTCACATTCTTAAAGGTCCGTTAATATTATCGAAGCTGAGAGTGTACCTGACTTCGATTCTTCACTTGGGTTTGTATTTTCTAAATGGTTCTATAAGAACAGGAACAGATTCTGTATTAAGAAGAAAACCCACAAGAGTTGTATTTAAATTCCTCACATCTATCCAGAAGTTTGTCATTTTCCAAGCTAGGAGTTACAGTGTCATGATGGACCTGGATTAGAAGTAAGACAATTTGGGTTCCAGCTCTAGCTTTGCCCTGCTGAGTTGTGTGACCTCAGTAAGACCCTTCTCCTCCCCGGGCCTCGGTTTCCCCATCTGTAGGATGAAGATAGGAGTCCCTGGGTGGTGCAAACGGTTAACATGTGCAACTGCAAACCAAAAAGTTGGAGGTTCAAGTCCACCCAGAGGCACCTTGAAAGAAAGGCCTGGTGATCTACTTCTGAAAAATCATCCATAGAAAACCCTGTGGAGCACAGTTCTGCTCTGACACCCATGGGGTCACCATGAGTCAGAGTCAACTTGACAGCAACTGGTTAAGATGGGGAGAATAACACCAACTTCAGGGACACGTTGCAAGGCTCAGGTGAAAGTGACTCAGACCAGAAAGGGGCTGGATAAAATGAAAAGTCATTCTTGTTCCTGGGGGAGAGGGGATAGGAATTGGGAAAGGAGGATGAGGGAGGAAGAGGGGGACGGAGGAGAGATTACCAGGAAGCAAGGTTGGGGACAGGGACACCACAGGCCTAGGAGGTGCAGAGACAGGAGGAAGAGAAAGGGGAGCAACCTTCTCCCAAGTCCAAGTGCTCAGCAGCCCCCGCCCACTCCCCCCACCTCCTGCCCTACCCCCACCTGTTGTAAGACTCCAGTTAAGACTTCAAAAGGGATTGTGGGAGAAGGAGAGTGACCTGAGGAGTGGGCAGCTAGACCCAACACAAACAAGCAACTCACCCACCCCACCCCACCCCGCACTGGCCCACCTTTCATACCCGCGCCGTTTCCCCAGCTCCCTGCACCCCCAAAGTCTTCCTGAAGTCCCACTGGAGCCGAGGTGATAAAACGCCATCTCACTTAAGGCGAAATGCACTGCGCCTCCTTGTCTCCCTTCCCCGACCCCACCCGCCACCTCCACCACCTCCTGTCCCTCTCAACTGTGCTCTCAGAACAGAACCCAGGTGTGGCTCGAAG